CATATGGAGGCACTTTTGACTCGTTGGCATGCATTTACCCCTCTATATTTAATTTTTTTTTTTGAGAGAATAAAATTTTTTAATAAGATAGTGGAAATCACTTATAATATTTAGGCTTCGTGTTTCCTGTAAAATAAACTTTCAAGAAACATATTTTTCCACAATTCCCCATTATTAGGGCCATTCAAGAAATAAATCAAACGAAAATATTTTAATGCATTTTTAAGGAATGACTTTTCCAATTTCAAGAGAGGAAAATATACTATATAAAATGATAACGTGAATAAAATTAGTTTAAATTATACTATTAGTGCATTTATAGCCACTGCCACCCGTGGCACCGTGTACCACCTAACTATCAATTAGCCGAGCACTACACTCACAACATACCATCGGCTCTCAATAATCCATCATCCATCTATTTTACAATTTCCATCAATATTTAATTAAAAAAATTTTTAAAAATACGAAATTTTTAATTGTTGTTAATGGGTGAATGGGTTTTGAGTGAGTGCTTGATGAGAGATGTTGCTAATATGTTTTAGATTATATATATAAAATTAAAATACAGAAATATAAGTCGTTTGAAAAAATATTATTTAAGTCAAAATAAAATTTCGCAAAAAACAAAACGCATGTAAATTCATATCAACCGGGAAGAATATAAGAAAAGCAACGTGAAAGTATCAATGGTTTTGTCATTATAAGGAAACCCTTTTAAGTGAGTTTTATCATTTGCCTTATTTCCCCCAAGAGACAAAATTATTATGTTTATGGAAACTTCCATATAAATTATTAATCACTACTTATTTATATGTGTGTTTTTCACTTCATTACAGGCAATCATTTCAAGAGTGAGAGGTGGTGGAGTGTGGAGAGGATTATATGGTTAAACTATATACCGTATATATAATAGTAATGGATTATTGCTTATATAAAACACTTGATAACAAAAGGCACCCATCTACCATAATTAAGTATGTATTATTGCAACTCAACTCGAATAAACTCAAACAAAAAGGACTTTTCGGATTTGGCAGCATTATTTAGATTTATCCTTTTGTAAGTAATCTTCAGCTTTCTTCTTCGTGCAATGTTGATTTCTTGCGACTAGATTAAAGAAATTGTAGCTTGGGAATGGTAGATTGTGATGGAGTTTGGGATCTTAATACTGGTTTATCGCGAGATTATTCAAAATAAATTCCCAAAATTTATGATGCATTAGATAATTATAGAATTGAATTTTTATGAAGTATAGTATAACGAATGTAACAGTTGAAGATATTGACTTGCCGGATTGAGCATGAATTTCTGTTGTGTGAAGCAGCCTTGGGAAATTCAAAAAACATGTGCTGAAAATAATTCGGGAAATGTTTTGATATTATCTCTAATTGAAATATAAACTGAGATTTAATGTAAAAAGTTAGTTTTAAATATGAATTAATAAACCCCTGAGATGGCAAGTAGTATATATGATGTTTGTGAGTGAATTTTGTGATGGGGAAATGAATTTAATTAGTATATGAAGGCTATGAGTTTGGTGAGAAAGAAAAACCGATGAATTTCTATGAAATTAGAGGTAGCTAGTGGATATTTCCCTGATTATGGATTGTAGCAAGTCCAAGATAATTTGTAGCTTTGTTAGTTTCACATTAGGGTTACAAGAATTTTCACATTGGTTACAAGATATTGGAAGTATTTTCGTTTGGAATAAGATTTAATCATAATATTCTCATTCTTTGTGACTGAAAGGAAAAAGGAAGACATAAAAATAGTTGAATGTGAATTGGAACTTGAAATTTTCATTTTTATTTTTAGAATAGTAGCTTGGTGCATTTTTATTTGTTATTTATTTAGTTAGAAAAGAGAATGAATGTCATACTTTTATTATCAGTACAATATGATGGGAATAGAAATGTCTGTTTTTGTTAACTAGGCTAGTTAAAGCTAATTGTGTAAATATGCATATATATATATATATATATACTATTCATACGTTACAAGGACTAAATAAATCGATTTTATTAGAGATTAAAATTAAATTTTATAAAGAAATTGTGCATGGTTGATGACGATGTTGGTATTAAGAGGAGGTTGGGTATTTGATGATTGTGACATAACCCTATGGATGTGACTGTGCTTAATTGATTTCGAACAATATTTGTACCTCTATTCTATGATATTTTATATGTGGAAAACTCCTATCTTTTTTTAGAGGCAGTGGTTTGCCTCAAATTCGACAAAATCTTGAAAAAGGCATACTTAATATAATATAGGTTATTTAATTTATTTTAGAATGATTTGTCTTATTTCTTATTTAGGAGGAAATTCTTTATTTAATTTCTCTCCCCTATCAATTCTGACTTCGATATAGATTATTCAGAGATGTCTTATGCTGTAATAATAAAAAAAAAAAAAAAAAAAAAAAAAAAAAAAAAAAAACAGAACTATAATTAGAGTATTCCCTTTCTTATTGCCGCGAGTTATAATAAATAGTATATTATCATTTACATCGTGTATACATACATTATTATATAATGTTACAATTTCTTACTTATTTATTTATTATTTATTTATTTATTAATTTAGTTTATAGCGTAAATATCCATTATTTTGTACTTGACTTATATATGTGTATATTTGAACATTTGCATAACAATGTTTGTTTATTTAATGTGCTTGCATTTGAATGCAATGTTTGATTAGATGTGTTGTGATGATGTGGACCACACTTGAAAGCTTGACAATCTATAGGTGTCCCCTTCTGGAAAGACGATGCAGAAAAGAGAAAGGAGAGTATTGGCGCTTTATTGCCAATATCCCCCGTTTCACAACTGAACCGTTCCTCTTCTATAGGGAGCCCTCAAATACATCGAGGTATTCATCTTTTTACTTTTGCTTGCAGCTAAAACTATAACTGATATATGCCGTATTTTGAAGCCAAAATAGAATAGATATAAAAAAATTAATTGCATTCAATTATGTGGTGTTTCAAGTTTCAACAGTATTACCCCGTTCTGTTCAGAATGGCGGTTGATAATCAATTGGTGTTTGAGAATCAATTACATGTTCTGTTCAGTTGGTTCTAACTCACAATGCATAAATTGGAAAAGTTTCTATAGGTGTTGAAGTAGATGACATGCTACATTATCTCTTCGCGGTACTTGAGTACATTGATGTTTTTTTTTTTTTTTTAATCATGAGTTCATTATAGCTTTTATTCTTCATTGTTCCGACACTGACATGAGCTGATTTTATACATATCAAATCTTGGCTGCAAATAATGCAATTGTTTCTTCAGGCGATAAAACCGGACTGCTTAGGCCAGAACTCGAGATTGTCATAATCGTCTCAAATCCAATCCTGCTGGTAAGTATAAAACTATCGTCTCAAATCCAATCCCTGCTGGTAAGTATAAAACTTTCATGGATTATTTTCGATGTTTTTGGTTTCTACAATCTACAACTGTAATTTTATAGAGACTGCTATTAGTTAAGCTTGCAAAGTTTGGTGAGATACTCCAAATTTTCTATTGATGTTTTATTTTCAGATGTTATTCATCCATGTATTGTCACTTAGCATTTCTAATCCTAGGAGGGTCTGTCCTTCATACAAAACATCTAGTCAAGAATTAAATGATCTCAAATAATTTCCTATTCATGCAAATCGACAGCTCGTCCGCACCGAGATGCAAATGACTTACATTTGCAAGTGGAGTTGAGATTTTATAAGTAATTATTTGGCAATGTGGCTTTATGGAGCAAAATTTGATTTTGAATGAAAAAATTACATCGAAAGAATCTATATGTGTCAAAACCTAATAATAATTTATTTTCTTTTTCTTTTGCATTGAGCAGGGGGAATTTGAACCAGGATTTATAGTTAGATTATATATGCATTTACCATCACTCTATTACGGCTTGTTGCGCATAAATCTAATAAAATTAAGCTAATAATTTGGCTATTATTTATAACAAATGAACACAATAAAATTCTAATAAAAAGAATAAAATTGATGTACATAGATTATGAAATTTTTGGAAGAGGCTTGCGAAGAAGAAAGTGGTGAATAAGTGAAAGCTCACTTGCAGGCTGAAAGGCAGGCACTTCATGTCCAGCCCCTCTCACTGTAACAAAAGTAAAGTCTCCTTTATAAATTTCTGTATACCCACTAACCTGAAACACAAACATTCAGTTTTAATAGGAAAATTTAACTTTGGCGAGTGAGTTGTTACTTCCATTAAGCTTGGATTTGTAAAGGTTGTCAAGAATTTCACTTTGCCTGTTGCTAATGCTATGGCTCTGGGATGTTAAATAAGAAAAAATGAAAAAGAAAAGAAATAGGTTTTTCCCCATTGCACGAAAAGGTTTTAGGGTTTTTGATTTTTGTTTCTTGAATCCAAATTATGTGTTTATATTATGTAGACAGGTGTTATGAGAGAGAATATAATATATTTAATTTTCACAATTTTGGGGAATCACTCCTTTTGTGGCCTCATCAAGGGCCCTTCTTAAAAATGGTCCCAGCTGTATTTTTGTCGGTAAAGGATGATTTTAATATAATGCTTTGTTGATAAAGAAGACTTTAGTCCATTCATTAAGTGATATGCTCTACCCACTTTAGTTAGTGCTTGTCTACTCCAAAATGTGAACCCCGTAATGCCCCGTTTGTTGTTTTTCTATTTTTCAATTTTGAAAGAAATACCTATCGTTTAAATTTATTATTTTTGTTATTTCATATTTTTAAAACAAAAAAAAGAATTGAGTGTCGAAATTTAAAAGAAAATTCACAAAATTCATTCTTTGTTTTTTAATTCAATTTCTGAAAAATAAATTTTAATTTAGAAAAATGGAAATTGAAAACTAACAAGATAAAAATTAGAAACTAAAATTAGGGTAAACACCACTTAAGGATTCTTTGTTCCAACGGTAGGTTGGCATCTAATACCAAAAAGATAAGGAAACTACTCAAGCAGTTGATCATTTTTTTAATACATCAAAAAATCATTAAAGGTTATTACACATCAATAGGACAATAATAATAAAATAAAAAGCAATGGTGCCAAAGAAATTCGAGGCTTTATAGGCACTCTTTGTTTTTTTTTTTTTACGTAATAATGGTATTCTTTTCTTGAAGCTCAAGCGGGTCTTTTCAATGGAGTAGGTGGGGACCTTAGGAAGGAACCAATTTCTCTTCATTCACTGAAAATAGTCATAAACACTAGAAATGCCTGTTTAGCTTTTCAGTTTCAATCACCTGCCAATTTTGTGTTTGGTATTACAACTTCCTTCGAGTCTTTGATACTGCAACTCCACTTTCAATAACCGATCAATTCTTCAATTGGTCGAATTTTCTGCTGAAAATTTTGATCATCCTCTCTTTGTGATGGAAATTGCATCTGCTATTGGAGGTGCTCTTCTAGCACCTGCCTTTGAGTCTTTGTTTAATAAGTTGGCTTCCAAGGACTTGCTCAATTATGCCCGTGAAGGACATGTGCTGACTGAAATCAACAAGTGGAAGGAGATGTTGGAGAGCATCTGTGGCGTTCTTGAGGATGCAGAGGAGAAGCAGACGGTGAGCAAGCCGGTGAAGATGTGGGTAAGACAGTTGAGGAACCTGGCGTATGATTTGGAGGACATTCTTGATGAGTTTGATTTTGAGGCTCGTCGATCCAAGTTGAAAGCTGAACCTGTGGCTGGTTCAAGTAAGGTGCGAAAGCTCTTCCATAATATTCGTGCGGTCAAATTCAATAAAGAGATGATTTCCAAGATAAAGGGAATTAGTTCCCGACTAGAAGATATCACCTCACGAAGAAATCAACTAGATTTGAAAGAAAGGCCCGGTAGAAAGAGTGAAAGGATTCCTGCGACGTGCTTGGTGAATCAAGCCGAGATTTATGGGAGGGAGAAAGATAAGAAGGCGATTCTTGAACTTTTGAATTCTGAATCAAGTGATAGAAGGGTTGCTCTGATTTCTATAGTTGGACTGGGAGGTTTTGAATTCTGAATCAAGTGATAGAAGGGTTGCTCTGATTTCTATAGTTGGACTGGGAGGTGTTGGTAAGACAACTCTAGCGCAGCTTATCTTTAATGAAGCTGGAGAGAAGTTTGATTTGACGGCTTGGGTTTCTGTCGGTGAAGATTTTGACGTGGTTAGACTTACAAAAACAGTTCTTCAGTCGGTCGGTGGAGATCTTACTTCCAACGATTTGAATTCGCATCAATTAGACCTGAAGGCAAGGCTGTCAGAGAAGAAGTTTTTTATGGTTCTAGATGATGTTTGGAACGAGAATTATGACCATTGGACAATCTTTCTTCGCCCCTTTGAGAATGGGGCAAACAATCTTTCTTCGCCCCTTTGAGAATGGGGCAAAAGAAAGTAGAATTATCGTCACAACTCGCAATCTTGGCGTTTCACGGACGATGGGTGCTATTCAAAGTTATACACTTGGAGTGTTGGAGAATGATGATTGCCTGTCTGTGTTTGCCCATCATGCTCTTGGAGTAACAAAATTTGAGGAGCACTTGGATCTAGAAGCAATAGGTAAGAAGATTGTGGAAAGGTGTCAAGGCTTACCTTTGGCAGCTAAAGCTATTGGAGGTCTCTTACGAGGTCAACCAACTCGCGATGCATGGGAACAAGTGCTAAACAGCGGCATTTGGGAGGAGAAAGGCGACATTCTTCCAGCATTAAAGTTGAGCTATCACCATCTTCCACCTCATCTGAAACGATGTTTTGTTTATTGTGCAATTTTTCCACAAGATTACAAATTCGATGAGGATGAGTTGGTTCTACAGTGGATGGCTGAGGGATTTGTACAGCACGCACAGGAAATGAAGCAAATGAAACGCTCGGGTCATCTATATTTCCATGAGTTATTATGGAGATCCTTTTTTCAACAATCTATAAATCACGATATCGTGATGCATGACCTACTCAATGACTTTTTTCAACAATCTACTGGCAATAAATCACGATATGTGATGCATGACCTACTCAATGATCTAGCTAAATCTGTAAGTGGAGAAATATGCCTTCATTTGGACGATGATAAGTTGAAGGGCATAAAATCACATGCAAACGTTCGCCATTCAGCGTTCGCTTGTCATCGCTATGACAGGTACCAAAGATTTGAAGTCTTTTATGAGATGAGTAATCTGCGAACATTCTTAGCATTATCCCCTAATCAATGGGGACATAATTTTTTATCTATTAGAGTGGTGCATGACATAGTGCCCAAACTGAAACGTTTAAGGGTGCTATCACTAGCTCCATACGAGTTTGAAGAGTTGCCAAGTTCAATTGGGGCCTTAAGGCATTTACGATATCTGAACTTGTCTTACAACGCCGGGATTAAAAGATTACCTAATTCACTGATAAATCTTCAAAACTTGCAGACACTGAAGTTATGTGCTTGTCGGAATCTTATTGAGTTGCCCACAGGCATTGGCGCTTTAATCAATTTGATGCACCTCGATCTTAAAGGTACGGATGCTTTGCAGGAGATGCCATTGGGGGTAGCTAAATTGATAAATCTTCAAATATTGTCTAAGTTTATGGTGGGAAAAGGAAGTAATTGCCTTGGAATTAGAGAGGTAATGAACCTCCCTCATCTAGAAGGACAACTTCGTATTGAAGAGCTACAGAACGTGGCAAGGATCGAAGATGCAAATCTCGTTGATTTAAAGAAGATTGAGAATCTTGATGATTTGGCTTTGGTATGGACCCATAAATTGCGTGATTCACCACGCGAAGAGGATCATGAATTCCAGGTTCTCAACTTGCTAGAACCTCATCAAAAGTTGGAAAGCCTTTCGGTTCAATTTTATGGCGGTAAGCAATTTCCTTTGTGGATAGGAGATCCTGCATTCACAAATATGGTGGATCTAGAGCTTTGGGATTGTCAGAATATTACCTCGCTGCCACCGCTAGGTAGACTATGTAAACTGAAAAGGCTGTGCATCAAAGGCATGGATGAACTGCAAGAAGTAGGGCTTGAGCTTTCCCCGTCCCTTCAGATTCTACAAATTGAGGATATGTTGAAGTTGAAGCAATGGGCTCACTCTGATGACGTCAATGTAGAGGTTACAAGAAAATTTCCCAGACTACGTCGCATTTGGATAGGCAAATGTCCTAAATTGGTTGTGACATTGCCTACCTCCCTTCCTTCCCTTGAGGTATTGGACATTCGTGGATGTAAAGATATTATTCTCGAAAGTGTGCATGATCTATGTTCCCTTCAAACCTTGTCCATTTCGAGTATTTCAGCGCTTGAAAATTTACATCAAGTGGTTACGCAGTCCTTGGTGGCGCTAGAACATCTGTCCATTGATAATTGCCGCCAATTGATACACCTGTGGCAGGGTTCAACTGATTTAGACAAACTTTCTAGGTTGAAATCTCTAAGGATCCAAGGTTGTGAGAAGCTAATGTCTTTGATAAGAGGAGAAGAAGGGAATTTGCCTTGCAATCTTGAAATTTTGGAGATAATGTGCTGCAATGGATTGGAGATTCTGCCAAATGGGTTGCATAGCCTTGTGTCTCTTAGAGAGCTGAATATCTGTCAGTGCCGAAACCTTGTGTCCTTCCCATCTGCGGGCTTACCTTGTAGTCTTAAAAGTCTCGATATCAAATATTGTGATTCTCTGGAGTCCTTGCCTAAGGGCATTGTGCATGATAGTAACACTAGGAATGAGATGTCTCATCTTGAGGATGTGAGTGTCAGTGGATGTCCATCTCTTACATCGCTTCTAGTTGGTGAATTTCCCTATTCAATTAAAGAAATTGAAATTTGCTTTTGGACGACACAACTATTGGAGTCGTTTCATAATAGGTTTTCGCATCTCACCACATTAGCAATATGTTACTCTAAGTTGGAGTCTTTCCCAGAAAGTGGATTGGCCATTCCCAACCTTAGCCGTTTAAAAATCGCCAACTGTGGGAATTTGAGGTTGCTTCCCAATCAAATCCAAAATCTCACATCTCTTCTCGATTTAGATATACATAGTTGTGGAGGTTTGGTGTCCTTTCCAGATGAGGGTTTACCCCCAAACCTTTTCCAGATGAGGGTTTACCCCCAAACCTTCAATCTTTACATATATGGAACTGTGGAGGTCTGGTGTCCTTTCCAGATGGCGGTTTACCCCCAAAACTAGGTCATCTTATAATTTCGCATTGCAAGAATCTGAAACAGCCAATCTCAGAGTGGAGACTCAAAAGACTCGCCTCTCTCACCTGTCTCACAATCGAAGGGCCATGTCCAAGTACAGATATGGATTCCTTCCCAGATGAGAAGGATTCCTTCCCAGATGAGAAGGGCCTACTGCTTCCCTCTTCCCTAACCTCTCTTAAGATCGAAGATTTTAAAAATCTGAAATCAATATCCAGGGGCATTCACCATCTCACCTCTCTTGGTGATTTAAGAATTGGAGATTGCCCTAAACTCCAGTCCTTTCCCAAGGAGGGCCTTCCGACCACACTTGAATGGTTGAATATCTTCGAGTGTCCCCTCCTGGAAAGACGATGCAGAAAAGAGAAAGAAGACTATTGGCGCTTTATTGCCAATATCCCCTACCATTCTATAATATGAGGTATTAATCTTTTTACTTTTGCTTGCAGCTTAAACTATAACTGATATATGCATTTTATTAAGCCCAAAATAGAATTAGATACTAAAAAAAAATGAATTGCATTCAATTATGTGGTATAGTTTCAAGTTTCAACCATACTAGCCCCATTTGCTCAGAATGGCGGTTCGAAGAAGTGAATTGGTTGTTGAGAATTCACAATTACATGTTTGTTCAGTTGGTTCTTAACTCTAATGCATAAATTGGAAAGTTTTATAGGTGTATGAAGTTCGAGAATCTCACCTTGCATATAGATGGAAACATCTTTCATGTTCAGTACTGGTACTTGCTATTATAGCTTTTATACTTGTCAGTGTTCCGACACTGATGTTCCGACACTGACATGAGCTGATTTTATACATATCAAATCTTGGCTGCAAATAATGCAATTATTTCTTCAGGTCTGCAAAAACCGGGACTGCTTAGGCCAGAACTCAGAGACTCTCATAATCGTCTCAAAACCAATCCCTGGTGGTAAGTATAAAACTTTCATGGATTATTTTCGATGTTTTTGGTTTCTACAATCTACGACTGTAATTTTATAAAGACTGCTATTAGGTAAGCGTGCAAAGTTTGGTGAGATACTCCAAATTTTCAATTGATGTTTTATTTTCAGATGTTATTCAGGCAGGTATTTTCACTTAGCATTTCTAATCCTAGGAGGGGTGTATGGGGGAGGCCTGTTGGTCGGGTTTAGATGGATTAGTTATGTTAAGTTTTGCCTGGATGATGTTTTTAATAATAAAATTTAATTTTCAAAAAAAAAAAAAAAAAAAACGAAAAAAAAAAGACTACAATCCTAAAAAAAAAAAAAAAAAAAAAAAGACTACAATCCTGTTTCTGCTACATATGACTATAATGAGCATTGTGACCAATTTATCAGACAAGAATTCTGTTGACTATGTTGAGATACTTATATGAGCATATTTGCTTATTTATTGACAAAGATTTCACGCTCTGGTTGAGAATTTTTCAGATGGAAATTATTCTTTTTTTTTTTTTAACTGGAATAGGGTCCATCCTTCCTACAAAACACCCAGTCAAGAGTGAATTTGAGATTTTATAAGTAACTATACTGGCAATGTGACTTTATGGAGTAAAATCTGATTCTGAATGAAAAAATTACATCAAAAGAATCTGTACGTGTCAAAACCTAATAATAATTTAATTTCTTTTCCTTTTGCTTGGAGGAGAGAAATTTGGATCATGATTTATAGTCAGGTTATATATGCATTATTTACCATCACTCTATTACGGCTTGTTACGTATAAATCCAATAAATTTAAGCTTAATAATTTGGCTATTGTTTATAACAAATTAACACAATAAAACTCTAATAAAAATAATAAAATTGAGTTGCATAGATTATGAAATTTTTGGAAGAGGCTTTCCAAGAAGAAAGTGGTGAGTAAGTGAGAGTGCTCTTGCAGGCTGAAAGGCACGCACTTCATGTCCAGCCCCTCTCACAGTAATAAAAGTAAAGTCTCCTTAATAAGTCTCAGTATACCCACCAACCTGAAACACAAACATTATTATTAATTAATTATTTTCTAATTTTCTAATTTAGTCAATATATTATTAATTAATTATTAACCGTTTAAATTTTAAAAACTACTTACCTACTATTACAGTATATCCATACACCGTTCCTAAATTTATATTCACTTACAGCTTAATTTTTCCATATCAAACACTTGACCCATTTGACTAATGCATTTACTTCTTTTTTTTTTTTTTTTTAAATTCAATCAATATTACATATATTCATCACTACTTGTACACCCAGATTTTCAAGAATCCAAAATCCAATTCCAGAGAATTTGCAAATCAAATCCAAAATCCAATTCCAGAGAATTTGCAAATCAAATATTTAATTCAATGATACCAATTAAGAAATAGAAGAAAAGAATCACTTATTATACACCTACACACCCAAATACAGCACAATTTGCAAATTAATATTTAAAAGCGGTTTGGAATAAATGAGTTTTACAAAATTTTGTGGAATTTATTTGGAAATTTAAAATTTTATGGTTGGAATGAAAAAAAATACAGATTTATATTCTACAGAATTGAACATATCTAACTTAAATTCTACATTCTACTAAAATTGATGAAATTTGTAAATGAATTCCACAAAATTGACCATTAAAATATTTATTGATAAAATTACCCTCCACTATAAACTCAATTATTTTTACTTTTTTTCCCCTTTTTGTTTATTTTCTTTGGAAAATTCCAAACTGTAACAACTATCGGCCACGACCAACTATCGGCCATGACCATTAGCTTTCATAATTTACCTTTTTTTGCTTTTTTCTCATATTTAAGAATAAAATTTTTAAAGTTTCTATTATGAGAAATTACAATGAGTTTAATATTTCTAATATTTTTGTGGTCTTACGAGTTAAATAATTTAATATTTTAAATTCTTAATAAATCATTTGAAAAATTATTGCAACTAAACAATATTTTTAATTATTGAACTAAACAAGAAAAATAAATCATTTGAAAAATATTATTCAATTCAAAGATAAATTATTTTCCAAAAATAAACCGTCTTAATTCAATAGTATCAAGAAAGAACTACAAGAAAAGCGAATGGAAGTTCTTGGTTTTGTCATTAAGACCCTTTAAGTAATACTCAAAGCTTACTAAAATATTACATTTCATTTCGAGCACCTGTAGAATCGCCTCCTTGGATTTTTATCGGTCTAGGATGTGTAAATCTTACCCTTAAATCATGTCATAGATATTTTTGACGCTCATAAAGCACCTGAGGATTAGAGCTCATAGATATTTTTGACGCTCTGCTCATGTCAATTGTTGCACTGAGTCCATCTCCTACTGTCACGACCCATTTCCTTGGGCCGGACCGGCATTAGGACCCAGGTAAGCTTAAGGCCCCCGAGGCCCGTAGTAAGCCTGAATCACTAAAAATTTACTATCTCAATATAATTTTATTACTAGGAAAAATAAAGCTCAAGATTTTATTATACCTCGGCCCAAATTTATCATCTTCAACATTCCACAGTTCGATTCAATTTACAATACAGCACATTTCTAATATGGGCTCACAGAATTATTTTATCTATGTTAATACACGATTAAATGTATGTAAATTCTACAACTGCGGAGTCACTAACTGTTTGATATACATAGCTTCTTATACATATAGTTACATAGACATCATAGATTTACATAGGCAAAATAATTATGGAACTAAGGAAAATTTCTTTACGCCCTGCGGCGAAGAAACATAAGCATTAAACCCGAATTAAAGAAAACTTACTTCCTGAAAAATTAAACAAGACATGTGAATTTTCTAAGGAGTAATTTTTATTGCACAACAACGCCATTCACACAAATGTGTTAAACATATCAAGCTAGTCATCCGGACTATTAATATAGCTCACGCAGCCAGTCCACCCAAATGGCATATCACCAGGCACTCCACAATTATTAACCATTTTCCACATAATCAACATTCAACGTGGAAATTGGTCTGTGCGTCACCGAACCCCCATGAGGTCGTTTCCACAAATGGCCCACGCTCTCATAAGTAACTTGTGCATCAGGGAGCCGATCCCCATAATGGCCGACCGCGTCTAATCCTCACGTGGGACCAAGCCCTCTCATTTTTTTTTCAATCTCCTCTTTTTTTTTTTCCATCACCAACACGGAGGCCACCATTGTGGTTTATCCATATTAAGTGCATCATTCTTCATCAAGTGCCACAAGGGCGCAATCTCCCATACGGCCAACGATCTCGTAGGACCGCCCTCACAAAAAACCCATGGTACCCACTTCATCCCAATTCCTTCATCCCAATTCCACACATACAAGGCATGGCATTATCACAAAACAATTAATCAAGTATTGCAATTAAATGCAAGCATAGCAAACAATTAATTAACATGATGCAAATACACAAGTAGACATTTATAGATAATTATAATTAAATAGAGAAATAGTAATCAACAACATATTATTATAATAATTGAACCATCGAAAATAAATAAATAACTAAATACATAAATAAATAAATAAATAAATAATAATAATAATAATAATAATAGAATAATTAGAAAAACTTTATTTAATATGTATTAAGTTAAAGAATTAATCTAATAAACCAATTAATTTGATTATTGATTAAGACTAACCTAGGTCTTATCGAAATTTCGGCGGAATCTCCCCTAGAATTTGATCAAACTATAATTCAATAACAAATTTTCAAAGCCCATCCATCGGGCAATTCACATCAACTCATCCCATCCGCCATAACCATAATCATTTATTTAATCTCTTACTCAATTCACACACACAGGTCCATCGGGCACGCTCAATCCAAATAACCCATTTTCTCTTAGACTACATACGTCATCCATCCACACAACACTATTCAATTAATAGCCTCCAAACCAACTAAATCAATACGTTTATATTAGCCTACGAGCAATATTTCAATGATATTATTAAAGAAAGAAAAAGAAAAAAGCAAAGAAAAGGGGAGAGAAAGAAACTGAGAAAGGAAGCAAGAAAAGAGGATTGAAAAATTTAAAAGAAGGAAAAAGAAAGAATTGAAGAAAGAAAAAGGAAAGACAAAGAGGAGGACTGAGAAGGAAGAGAAAAGAAAAAAGGAAGCCAAGTTAAGTGAAATAGAAGAAAGAAGAAAAGGAAATCAGACAGAGAAAGTAACGAGAAGAGGAAAGAAGGCAAAAAGAGGAAAACAGAAGAAGAGAATTGGAAGAAGAACCGCAAGAAAGAAGAGGAACTAGGAAGAAGAAAGAAAAAGATTGAAGAAAAGATGAAACTGAAAAGGAGAGTGCTGTTGAGAAAGAAGAGTCAGAAAAAGAAGAAACAGAAAAGAAGAAAGAGCCTGAAAAGATGGAAAAAGGGAAGAAAGTAGAGGAAGTTAGTGATACTGAAACTGAAAAGCTAGAAATTAGTGATGAAGAGAAGACTACTGAGGATAAGACAGAGAAAGAATCTGAGTTGCTGTCGGCTCAATGAAGTAGGGAAGTCATGCTGGGAAGAATAGAGAAGGAGCTAATAGAATAGCATAACAAAGAACTTGATGAGGCAATACAGCATTGCCAGACTGTAATTGGACAGAATCAGTCTCTCATCAAGACTTTGGAAAGAATGAAGGATGTAAAAAAACAAAGGAGGTTTACTACTCTCAGAGGTGAAAGGAACACCACTACATCCCTCCTCAGAAAAAACAACAGAACGTAGAAGCCAACTAGCTGGCAAGCACAGACTCATGGAAGAAAAGCCTACCACCTGCATTCATCTTCTAAGAAAGGCCAGAAAGTTCTTCTGAGCACTTGCTCCAGCTCGAATTTGAGGAGTCTTAAGAGAACTTAGAACTGGTTCTAGGCCTCTCTGATTTGGTTTTTTTTTTTTTTTTGTGTTATGAACAATTTAATTTTTGCTTTATCTTCGGTATAGGATATACTATTTTTTTTTGGAACTGTTTATTTTTCTTATTATTTGCTGTCGATTTTGTCCTAAACCCTTATTGTATGATGACAAAAGGGGGAAACAGGTCATTTGTGGTGGTAATCTAAACATAATTTGGTACTTACCTTAGTAACCAAGTACTTATATTTATGTTTGTTTGCGCTACGTGCTTTCATTATGGTTTATTCTTTGTTTGAGCATATTTCTCTATATGATAAGTTCTGAGTGTTTTTTTTAGAACTTAGATTCTTATTCTAACGACTGTATTTGCAGGTTGGGACTAGATATTTTGTTCTATTTTTTATATC